GGGAAGATCATACAAACTCCACTCACTCTGTAGAACAGGGGGAGATCATACAAACTCCACTCACTCATTCTGTAGGACAGGGGAAGATCATACAAACTCCGCTCACTCTGTAGAACAGGGGGAGATCATACAAACTCCACTCACTCATTCTGTAGGACAGGGGAAGATCATACAAACTCCACTCACTCGCTCTGTAGAACAGGGGGCGATCACACAAACTCCACTCACTCTGTAGAACAGGGGGAGATTATACAAACTCCATGCAGAAAGTGTGCCCTAGTCAGGGTATCGAACCCTGGCTGGAAATTATGGACGCACATTATATTTTAATTTGAGCAAAATACTTATTTCAATTATTACATCATTAGTATTTAGAACTTTTTTTTCTCTCAATGTATACACGACACAGTTTTTTTCAAAACGTGTCCCTAATACTCAGCAGTGGCTGCAGAGATTCAAAAAAAGGTGCTCTCCGTTACAAGGCCGGCGTCTGTCCGTCCCTGGCATCTGGACGTCATCCCAGTCGTGAAATGCGTCCGTGAACAAGACAATCCCCACTTGGGCACCAAGAAATTCAGTCGCTTGGGAGCTAGACACTTCACCATATACAATCGTGGACAACAACAACCGCCGTTTGTCACTAAGTGGCGGTGACGTCACCACGACGCTCGTGCCAGGCTAGGTGCACGTTGAGGCCACGCGAAGTGACGAACGACGCCCGCTGGCAGGAGGTCACGGGGCAGACCCAGCAGGTGGCACGGGTCGACTGACCGAGATGACAGACGACTGGCTGATGCACCACCTGTGCCCCCCTACGGTAACAACTTGCCGTGCTTTAGCAACCCGGACAATAACAAACACACACACGTTGATAATGTACATTGGAGCACCTGCGGGCATTACAAATGTCCACGTGCAGAGCTGAACGCACCACACACGGTGACAAAACCTTCTCCTCCCCCACGTAGCCAACGCAGCCACTGTCGGGGGCCAAGTTGCTGTGAGCGAGCACCGCTCACCTCCAGACCGCTGGGGGCAAGTGCTGTTGGTGAGCAGCGCCGATCAAGGCCAGATCCGCCCGCTCGCTCGTGCATGGCTATCACCACCACCACCACACCTGGGTCTCGCCGGTGCAGGTGTTTCATTGACGCTGCAGCCGGGGGGGGGAAGAGGGGGGGAAATGATTCTATGGCCGAGCCGACCTAGGGGAGGACCGGACCTGGGGGATAAGATTTTTCCTTCCACGGGTTTGGCAGTGCCGTTGCAGCGCCCGGGGGCGGAAAAAAAAAGTAAAATATTTTTTTTAAAAACCCTTTTGTGCGCCAGCTACTCAAACCATTTCACCAGGTAAGGCCCCACTCAGCGACCACCTGCCATCACAAATGAAGCGGGATTATCATCATCATCATCACCACGTGGAAATGTATAGCAGCGGCCAAATATTCTTAAACGCGTGGCGATGTTGATGCTGAATGTGGGAGGGGGAAAAAAACCGGAGAGCCTGAAGGGAACAAAAAAACAAATCCACGTGACCAAGGGGAGAGGGAGACACACACACAAACTCCAAATACACACACACACACACACAAACTCCAAATACACACACACACACACACAAACTCCAAATACACACACACACACACACAAACTCCAAATACACACACACACACACAAACACAAACTCCAAATACACACACACACACACAAACACAAACTCCAAATACACACACACAAACACAAACTCCAAATACACACACACACACACAAACACAAACTCCAAATACACACACACACACACAAACACAAACTCCAAATACACACACACACACACAAACACAAACTCCAAATACACACACACACACACAAACACAAACTCCAAATACACACACACACACACAAACACAAACTCCAAATACACACACACACACACAAACACAAACTCCAAATACACACACACACACACAAACACAAACTCCAAATACACACACACACACACAAACACAAACTCCAAATACACACACACACACACAAACACAACTCCAAATACACACACACACACACAAACACAAACTCCAAATACACACACACACACACAAACACAAACTCCAAATACACACACACACACACAAACACAAACTCCAAATACACACACACACACACAAACACAAACTCCAAATACACACACACACACACAAACACAAACTCCAAATACACACACACACACACAAACACAAACTCCAAATACACACACACACACACAAACACAAACTCCAAATACACACACACACACACACAAACACAAACTCCAAATACACACACACACACACACAAACACAAACTCCAAATACACACACACACACACACAAACACAAACTCCAAATACACACACACACACACACAAACACAAACTCCAAATACACACACACACACACACAAACACAAACTCCAAATACACACACACACACACAAACACAAACTCCAAATACACACACACACACACAAACACAAACTCCAAATACACACACACACACACAAACACAAACTCCAAATACACACACACACACACAAACACAAACTCCAAATACACACACACACACACAACACAAACTCCAAATACACACACACACACACAAACACAAACTCCAAATACACACACACACACACAAACACAAACTCCAAATACACACACACACACACAAACACAAACTCCAAATACACACACACACACACAAACACAAACTCCAAATACACACACACACACACAAACACAAACTCCAAATACACACACACACACACAAACACAAACACCAAATACACACACACACACACAAACACAAACTCCAAATACACACACACACACACACAAACACAAACTCCAAATACACACACACACACACAAACTCCAAATACACACACACACAAACACAAACACAAACTCCAAATACACACACACACACACAAACACAAACTCCAAATACACACACACACACACAAACACAAACTCCAAATACACACACACACACACACAAACACAAACTCCAAATACACACACACACACACAAACACAAACTCCAAATACACACACACACAAACACAAACTCCAAATACACACACACACACACAAACACAAACTCCAAATACACACACACACACACAAACACAAACTCCAAATACACACACACACACACAAACACAAACTCCAAATACACACACACACACACAAACACAAACTCCAAATACACACACACACACACAAACACAAACTCCAAATACACACACACACACAAACACAAACTCCAAATACACACACACACACAAACACAAACTCCAAATACACACACACACACAAACACAAACTCCAAATACACACACACACACAAACACAAACTCCAAATACACACACACACACAAACACAAACTCCAAATACACACACACACACAAACACAAACTCCAAATACACACACACACACAAACACAAACTCCAAATACACACACACACACAAACACAAACTCCAAATACACACACACACACAAACACAAACTCCAAATACACACACACACACAAACACAAACTCCAAATACACACACACACACAAACACAAACTCCAAATACACACACACACACAAACACAAACTCCAAAAACACACACACACACAAACACAAACTCCAAATACACACACACACACAAACACAAACTCCAAATACACACACACACACAAACACAAACTCCAAATACACACACACACACAAACACAAACTCCAAATACACACACACACACAAACAAACTCCAAATACACACACACACACAAACAAACTCCAAATACACACACACACACACAAACAAACTCCAAATACACACACACACACACAAACAAACTCCAAATACACACACACACACACAAACAAACTCCAAATACACACACACACACACAAACAAACTCCAAATACACACACACACAAACAAACTCCAAATACACACACACACACAAACAAACTCCAAATACACACACACACACAAACAAACTCCAAATACACACACACACACAAACAAACTCCAAATACACACACACACACAAACAAACTCCAAATACACACACACACACAAACAAACTCCAAATACACACACACACACAAACTCCAAATACACACACACAAACAAACTCCAAATACACACACACACACACAAACAAACTCCAAATACACACACACACACAAACTCCAAATACACACACACACACACAAACAAACTCCAAATACACACACACACACACAAACAAACTCCAAATACACACACACACACACAAACAAACTCCAAATACACACACACACACACAAACAAACTCCAAATACACACACACACACAAACAAACTCCAAATACACACACACACAAACTCCAAATACACACACACACAAACAAACTCCAAATACACACACACACAAACAAACTCCAAATACACACACACACAAACTCCAAATACACACACACACAAACTCCAAATACACACACACACTCCAAATACACACACACACACACACTCCAAATACACACACACACTCCAAATACACACACACACACTCCAAATACACACACACACTCCAAATACACAAACACAAACTCCAAATACACAGCGGGTGTCAGGGTCGGGATCGAACCCACGCCCACCTGCATCATGGTCAGGCGAAGTCGTCAACGTCGCCTCGCCACCGTGATGCCCCCCCCCCCCCACACACACACACAGAGCCCCCCTCATGTTTAAACTTAGCCCCCACCCCCCCCACACACACACAGAGCCCCCCTCATGTTTAAACTTAGCCCCCACACACACACAGAGCCCCCCTTATGTTTAAACTTAGCCCCCCCCCCCCCACGTAGGGGAAAGTCCAGCGATCGTGAACACGGAGGCAGCAGCGACTGCTGGCGCCGTGCACACGTCAGAGACAAAGATCCCCCGTGTAGCCTTAACAAGAGCGGGGGGCAAGTGCCTGTCGTGGCGAGCTAGCGGCGCCTACGGAGGCCGGCGCCGTGGAACACGCCCGGCCGCCTCCGTCACCCCCGGTGGCGACGCTTACACGTCGCGCCACGGGACTCATTCGAGGCCGAGCCGACCCAGGGGAGGCACAGGACCGGTTCGGGTAACCGTCGCCGGCGTTGGCCGGGAGCGGGAATGGAACTGGGGCCGCCGGGTTGGTGGCACAGCGGCACCGACCTCTCGACTCGTCAGAGGCGACTGGCACGACGCACCACCACCAAGTTGCTCCTGCCTACGACGCCCACCAACACCTCGCCATCGCGCAAACACAACGCACAACTCAGACGCGACTTGCCCACACCACTGACGAATCACAATCTCATCCCACCAGCAGAGATGGTGGGGGGGGGTGGGGGCACCACGACCTCCCCCCCGATCGTCATTATTATTTGTTGACGAGTAGAGGGGTACGCTCACTCACACCGCCACGCTCCCTGCCCAGCCGCCCGTCGTAGTCATCCCCCGCCTCGTAGTCACCAGCACCACCACCACCACCACCGCCACCACCACCACCGCCACCACCACCACCGCCACCACCACCACCACCACCACCTTCACCGTCGTCATCCCGCCGCTTGCCGGGCCGGCGCATCGCGGCGCAGGCGGACGCCAGCGCCAGGCAGGCCCGGCCGCGGGCGCTGGGCCGGTGGTGGCTGGGGTCCAGCACGTTGGTGGAGCGCCGCTCCGCGTTGTAGAGCCACTCCTCGTACGGGCACGGCGGGAAGGTCGGCAGGCCCCAGCCGCGGCGCGCCTGGAACAGCGTGCCGGCCAGGGCCAGGGAGGCCCACACGCTCGCCAGCACGTAGTCTGGGGGGGGCGGCAGGCACGGAGCCGGCCAGCTCGTCATGGGAGACCCGGGTCCGTCCACAACACGGAGCGCGGCGACAACCGCGCGGGAGCCAACGCGGCGTCCGGCCCGCCCGAGTCCCCCCCTGGCCGGCGGCGGCGGCGTTGGCCTCACCGTTGGTCTGGAAGGGCGCCGCGTTGTAGACCCGCGTGTAGTCTTTGAGGGCCGCGCGCCGCACCGTGTTGAGCAGCAGGTAGGGCAGCGAGGAGCGCACGAACACGGCGCAGGCCAGCACCACGGCGTAGCCGCCCAGCACGGCGCACGCCACCACGCTCAGCTACGCACGGGCGCCGGCAGGGGGGGGTAGAGGGGCACAAACACCGTGGCACATGGTGGCTCGTGAATCTGGCGTACAGGCAGAGGAGAGGGAGCCCAGAGAGAGAGAGCCCAGATCCCAAAAACACAGAGCCCCCAGACTTTAACCTTTAAAATATATGTACACTTTTTTTTAATGGCTTATAAGAAGCGTCAATGGCAACAAGCGGTGGCAGTAGACACGTTCACAACAACACAAAGGTGTTCACGTCACGTGTGACCGGGCATCATCTGAGAGATGGGGGGTGTGGGAGCGCAAATTAAAAAAACGCGCAGCCAAGCGAATTATTGACAATTGGGCACAGGGCGTCCTGGGCACCCCCACCGGTATGACAGAGTACACAGCACTGTCCTCTAGACAGTCTGGTCCCTTCACCTGATGAAGGCCGCTGGTGTTGTGGCCGAAACGTCGCGATTTTTTTTACTTTTTGTTGTTTTTTTTTTAACGTGACTTTACCGAATAGAACCAAAGAGTTGGGATCCTTGCAGTTACGAAAGCTTCAAAATCTAGAAGAGTACGCGTGCCCAAGCCTTTAGCCGTGCTTTCACGAGGACCTTCAGAAGCACTGCCAGTGCCCCACGGCCAAGCCCATCGCCTTCCAATCTCCGCTGCCTCGCTTTGTACACCGCCAGCGCTGCCCTTGGGCACAGCCACGCCACGGGTATTGCCGTTGTGATCGATGCTGCAGACGCCGCACATCCAACAAGGTCCATCCTCCTCATGACCGAGCCGACTCCAGGTGGAGTTTCGCGGTGTTTCTGTCTTGGCTTGGGCTTAGGGTGCAGTTAAAACGTCCCCCTGCAGTTGTTCGTGCGTTGAGCGCACTAGAACAGGCCAAAGTGTCGTTGTCAAGAAAAGTTTCCTGGCCGGGCTTTTGCTTCGGTGCGTACGCCATTAACAAACTCGGAATTTGGTGTTCTTCACCTAAAAAAAAATCAACCGAAGCTAGGAGACCCCCTTCACAATCTCCATAATAAAAAAGCATTACTAAATACATTTTTTTAAAAACACGCTTTAATTAAACGTACCGTGCTAGTAATGGAAGGACTCCACGGCTCGAGGAAGTTGACCCGAAGCTCGCCACAACGCAAGGGGACCATGGCGAATTACAGCCAACGCGAGTTGAGCGTGGACAATTAGACCCAAGCAGAAACATAACATTTAAAAAGAGATTGTTTAAAAATATAGATTTTTTTTTATATTTAATGATAGAATATAGTATTGTCATCAGTATGACATAAGTATACCAAGTTTGCAGTCGATACCACATTGGGAAGTGGGTTAAAATCGAGTTACAAGATTTGAGGATACAACAACAATAACAGACAGAGTGAGTTAAATAAAAGTGTAAAAAAAGGGAACTCTCTGGCATGCACCGTGCTCCGAACAGGATTGCCTCTACGGCAGTGCGATCGTCAGGGTGGCCGCCGATAGAGAGTCTACCCCACTTGGCACCTAGGGGAGTCCCCGAGAGAGAGTCTACCCCAATTGGCACCTAGGGGAGTCCGCCGAGAGAGAGTCTACCCCACTTGGCACCTAGGGGAGTCTGCCGAGAGAGAGTCTACCCCACTTGGCACCTAGGGGAGTCCCCAAGAGAGAGAGTCTACCCCACTTGGCACCTAGGGGAGTCTGCCAAGAGAATCTACCTCACTTGGCACCTAGGGGAGTCCCCGAGAGAGAGTCTACCCCACTTGGCACCTAGGGGAGCCCGCCGAGAGAGAGTCTACCCCACTTGGCACCTAGGGGAGTCCGCCGAGAGAGAGTCCAGGCCTACTGATGGTATCATTGTCCTTGACCAGGTCAATGAATTAGAGATGTAGGTCTTGTTGGAATTCCCTTCACCTCTACTGTAGCAGACGGACGTAAAATATGGCATCTGTGCAGGATCGCCCGTTCCTGAAACCACGTTGGGGCTCCGCAAGCCTCTCCTCAGCATGCCTGGCAAGGCGATGTTGATTGTCTTGGCAAGGATTCTTTCCCGGCACACTGAGGAGTGAGATGCCCCTGTAGTTGTTACAGTCTGTGCGGTCCCCCTTCTTAAAGAGGGGGACCACCAGGGCATCCTTCCAATCCTGCAGAACCCGTCCAGTGGTCCAGACTGTTGTTATGATGTCATATAGGGCAGTCTGTGCACAAACGCCACCCTCCCTCAGCATTTCGCTTGGGGGTTAATCTCTGCCCGGTGGCTTTCCTGGTCTCAAACTCTCTATCACCTTCGGTGTAGAGCTTCTTTCGCACAGTACGTAGCCAACCGTGTTAAATCGGAAGGCGCGGGGGAAGGACATAAACACAAAAAGCCGTCAAATATTTGAGTTTGCCGATCAGAAGGGAAGAGCGTTCCAGACGGCCGCCAGAAGCATCGGGATTAAACTCTGCCATGCCCTGCCACCCGTGGATTAATATTTTTTCTTAAAAAGACGAACGTCGCATGCTGGGTTAAAATGCAGGGTGCCAACCACTGTGCCACACACACACCCATCAAAATAAAACTTGTACGCATTCCCTGGGGGGGGGGGGCAAATTGTATTCCAGTTGCTTAAAATATAAAAACCATTTCAATGGGCTTCTCGAACAAAAACAACAAATGGAATACGTGTCCATCCGCGTGTGCAAGGGGGAGCGGAGCTGAAGCGGTTAGCACGCCACGCCACGAACCTGCAGGGGCAGAGTTCGATTCCCGCTCACGGCCAACACCAGTGACGATTATCCGAACCGGTCCTTGGGGCCTCCGCTAGGTCGACTCAGCCTCAAATGAGTACCTGGTGCGGTGCGTAAAAACATCGCCACTGGGGAGACAAAAGGCGCCCCGGGGGCCTGTTGCTGGCCACCCACCCCCTCGTGCGCAATCCCGGCCTTCATTAGGCGCTCGCTAACAGCGCTTGCCACCAGCAGTCCGGTAAGGCTACACGGGGGATCTTCGTCCGTGTTGTTGGAGCGCGCGCACAGGGGTTTCATCAAGCGGCACGCAAAGTGCTCGCCGCAACTCGGCAACTGGGACGGACCACCACAAAAGGAAAGCCATTCATCACCACGAATAGACCTCCTCCCGCCTCGGCGAATCACCACGGCGCCCCGGGGGAAGAGGCGCTGACACGAGGCGGCGGAGGCGGCATCTTCAAGGCCCTCCAGGCCGGCTGGGCCGGCACCAAGAGATCGGAGCTCCCAAGGACCCGGAATGGGCACGGCAAGGTGGTGGGAACGTAGCGAGGGAGAACTGGGCAGACGCAACCGACTAGTGCGAGAGCGAGGGAGAGAGACACCGAGAGCGAGGGAGAGAGACACCGAGAGTCAAGAGAGAGACCGAGACACCGAGTGATCCAGAGACCGAGACTGATAGAGACACCGAGAGTCAAAAGAGAGAGAGAGAGAGACTGAGACACCGAGTGATCCAGAGAGCGAGATTTATAGAGACGGAGAGAGGGTCGAGGGGTCCAGAGATCTACGACTCGCATTTCCCCAAAAGGGGAAAAGGTCAAAAATAGTTCCCAGTCAAAGCTGGAGGAGTAGGGAATATCCAGCCATTCAATTGAAAAGGCTTTACCATATCCTCTTCCAGCAATAATACAGAAGGATGTTAACCCTTTCCTGCTCCGATGACGTACGTACACACACACGTACACATGTCATTACGTTTTTATTCCGGTTCCGTTCCGATGACGTACACACACGTCATCGGAACGAAACCGCCAGGAAAAAAAACTCAAAACAAAGCAACTTCTATAAATCGGTATCAATCCTCCCACAAGGCCTTGCGTGCGTGCGGTGCCGTTCGCGTGGCACAGTTTTTGGTGACGGCTATCGCAGACTGGCGGCGGTCGTGCCGCTAACGTCCTCTGCGGTGTGCGGGTGCACGTCTTAAATTAAACAGCGGCACCAATACTACCACCACGCCTCTCGCGTGCGTTCCGAGATTCGGCAGCACCTACGAAGGCCGCCTTTGTCTCCCCCAGTAGCAATGTTCACTACACACCGCACCAGGTACTCATTTGGAGGCCGAGTCGACCTACGCCAGGCCCATGACCGGTTCGTGATAAAAATCGTCACTGGTGTTGGCCACGAGCGGGAATCGAACACGTGTCGTTCGGTTCATAGCGCAGCTACACTACCGCTCCCCACTACACACACACCCCTCGGTAAGTGCTCAACTAGTAACTAAATCGTCACATTTTGTTTACGTGACAAACTTTTGTTTAAATCGGTTGCGTGTTGGGTGGTGGTGGCGGCGTGCTTGGAGACAAACCGGTTTATATTTACGCGATCTCTAACCCACAAACAAACCCTCTTATTCATGGACGATATTATAAATCTCAACGTTCATCCTACAAAGTCCCATCACGAGGGGAGAAACACAAGCAGAATTTACATTACGAGACGTCATTTGCCAGTAGCAAGATATTGCAAACATGATCCCTTGTTTAAAGGTGTCAGTTTTGGTGCCAGATAAAAAGGGTAAAAACCTATTACTATATCTTGCTACTGGCAAAGGAGGTCTCATAATGTAAATGCTTACCGAGCCCCCAATACTCTGATAGTGCGCTGTTTTTGAGTTGTACGCCTTTTGGCGTCATCTGGTCCAACACCAGTGGAGACTAAGGGCTCTAAGAAAAGCCATCTCGGGTGTGGACCAATCAATTTCAAGGACAGTGCCAATATCATTATCAGAGTTGTCTCTTCATGTTTGCATTTTGACTGCTTGTGTTGTGGTTATTGCAAACATGATCCCTTGTATAAAGGTGTCAGTTTTGGTGCCAGATAAAAGGGTAAAAACCTATTACTACAAACATAATTTGTTGTTGTTGCCCGTATTGAAATGGCTGTATGCCGTATGGACCTGAAAACTCAATTTCCCTGCACAAGAATAAGGGGTAAATCGTATGGCTCGACCGGTATGCATATACGACTACTACTACTAGTGGCGCATTACAAAAGACACAAATCCCCCCCCCCCCCCCCCCGACTCCCCCGACCCCCCCCGACCCCCCCCCCCCGTGTAGCCTTAACAGACTGTTGGGGCAAGTGCCGATAGCGAGTAGCAGTACCTGAACTAGCGCACGCATTTTCATTCGTACACGCACCGATACAATCCGTCGGACTCGTTCAACGCAAAGATAAAGATCCCCCATATAGCCTTTAAAAACAGACTGTTGGGGCAAGCGCTGTTCGCGAGCAACACCTATGAAGGAGAGAACGGCACACGAGGGGATGGGTGGTCAGCACCATGCCCAGCCGTCTTTCTCCTCAGTGGCGATGTTTATTACACACCGCACCAGGTGCTCATTTGCGTAGGCCGAATCGAACTAGGGGAGGGCCCAGGACCGGTTCAGCTAATCGTCACCGATGTTGGCCGTGAGCGGGAATCGAACTCGGGCGGTCAGGTTCGTGGCGCGGCGCGCCAACTGCTACACCGCCGCTCCCCCCTTACACACACACACACACGTGCACACACGCGCACACACACACACACACGCACACGTGCACACGTACGTACCTTGGAGCCGAACGCCTCGCAGCCGCTGGCACTGGACAAGCAACGCAGGGCGCTCAGAAGGGAGTCCACCCCCAGGTCGCCCTCGTCGAGGAAGGTCTGGTAGACGTCGTACTCCAGGCGCCAGCGAGACTCGGGGCCCTTGTCCTGGTCGCAGGCTGGTGGCACAGAACCCCTGCGGACGACGGAAAGCAGCAGGCACACGCCGGCATGCTAGTCACGCGTACGTACACACGCGTAAGTACACACGCGTACGTACACACGCGTACGTACAACTACCGCCATTCGCCGCGAAGTGGCGGTGACGTCACTTGTGCCAGGCCACGTGAAGTGTTGAACGCCCGCTGGCAGGAGGTCACAGGGCAGACCCAGGTGCCTTGGGTCGAATCATTGAGATGAGTTGCCGATGCACCATCTGTGCCCCCTACTGTGCCAACTTGCTGTGTCTATGGTAAGGCCCCACCTCTTAGTGGCATGCTCCAGGTTCAGCAGCAGCGCCTCCAACTCCTCCTGAGTGAGCAGCAATCACCACGTCATCGGTATACGTAAGATGGTTGAACAATAGGGAGCCATCCCTTGATCGCACCCGGGAATCGATCAGCCTCCCATTGTATCTGTACCAGATGGCAATTCCTCCGGTACAGCCATTGAAGGCTTCATGAACTACGTAGTAAAAATAGATGTTAAATAATGTGGGAGCCAGAAGATATCTCTGGTCGCAGCCCAAGGTGAACAGGGAATGCCTCCGACTCCCGGCCACCTAGTTAGACCCGGGCCCGCTCACCATCATGAAGGCCCTTAATGATCGTGAGCACAGATTCAGGGGCTCCGAGCATGAAAAACAACCCAGAGCTCAGGCCTACTGATGGTATCATAGGCCTTGACCAGGTCAATAAAGCAGAGCTGCAGGTCTTGTTGGAATTCCCTACACCTCTGCTGCAGCAGACGGACAGAAAATATGGCATCTGTGAAGGACCGCCCTTTCCTGAAACCGCATTGGGGCTCCGCAAACCTTTCCTCAGCGTGCCTAGCAAGGCAATGTTGAATAATCCTTGCCAGGACCTTTCCTGGCACACCAAGGGATGAGATGCCCCTGAAGTTGTTAGTCTGTGCGGTCCCCTTCTTAAAGAGGGCGACCACCAAGGCATCCTTCCAATCCTGCGGAACCCGTCCAGTGGTCCACACTGTTGGTATGATGTCATATAGGGCAGTCTGTGCACAAACGCCACTCCCTCAGCATTTCGCTTGGGAGTTGATCTCTGCCCGGTGCCTTTCCTGGTCTCAAACTCTGGATCACCTTCAGTACTTCCTCAACAGATGGCACCTCAGCCAGCCACTCGCAGGGGGTGACTTCTTCCAATATTTGGAGGCACGGCAGCCTCAGCAGGGTCATCACCACTTTGTCCCATGATGTTTTCCATGCGGAGGGATTTCCCCTCCCCCAGGACCTCACATAAATGCTCAGAGAATCTGCATACCGGTTCCTGGGGGTCATAAATTGGATCGCCGTTCTTTCCCCTAATCATGGTAATAGGTGTACGTACACACGCGCACACACACACACAATGTACGTCGGTCGTCATCGCAATGGAAAATGGGTCAGGATCTTTTTGTCAGAAACTCTGGAGCGGTGCAAAAAGCCACAGAAGAAGATGAAGCAGACGTAACAGAACTACTTCTGGAGATAAAAATCTCAAGCGGACCTCTGGGTCTATACAGAAGAGTGGGGCAGTGCTTTCACATCACCCCCCGCAATCATTGAGAACCGACGGTTACACCACTGTCTGTACGTTCAGCTTACTTTGCTCCCACCGTACGTAGCCAACCGTGCTAAAATCGGGAGGGTGCGGGGGGAATAGGGAAGGACAAACAAACTAAAACACCAAAACAGGCGGTTATAAAAGAAACGCGTTTGTCAACGTAGGCGAGGATTTAAGAGTGCGGCACAGCGCCCAGCGGCGTTCCAGACGGCCGCGGAAGCGAATCTGAGAGCGCCGCGGGACGATGCGGTCACCACCGTCTTTGTTCGACGGCCAGCTGCAATCCGCTGCTGCTGCTGCTGCTGCTGCTAGGATGACGACCGGAGTTTGCGTGCTGATGGTTTACGCTCGTTGACGAGGAGGTATTGTGGTTAAACTACCTTGCCCATCGAGACAAAAACAGAAAGCCACATTTGAGGAAACAACCTAAAATATAAATTAATAAAAAAATGAGGGGGGGTGGAGGGGGGAGGGGGGATGACCGACCGTGGGTACCCTAGGTTGGCCGGAGCAAATTCCAGCACCGTCTCGTAGAGGTTGTAGCTCAGACGGAGGTTGAGGTCCACCTCCATGTCGTACTCCAGGTTACAGCCGCCCGGCACAGGGTCTGGTAGGAATGAGCGGAGCGGAGAGAGCGGAGCGGAGAGAGCGGAGCGGAGAGAGCGGAGCGGAGAGAGCGGAGCGAGCTGAAAATCGTGGATCGGATGTATCAAGTCGTAACCGGATGTGGACTCTTTATTATTAAAACTAATACTACACACCATGCCTAAACAATTAACAACTGCCCGAAAAGTTCCATTGCCAATCCCATCAGCCGCAAATATATTCAAATGTTGACACGGGCCCCTCCTCCCGAGTTCACGTCAACCTCAAAATTAATCTGCCGAAGCGGCGCTCATCGCTGCGTCGGCCACCGCGGGGGCGGCTGGCGGGCACGAACAGAAAGTCGTTGTAAAGAACGCAAAGAAACGAGTTTCTCAACCTAAAACGACGATTTCAATGCGCAGCAGCACAGTAACCAACGGCGTCCTAATACAACGGAAGGCAAGTGCATTCCAGACGGCCGCAGAAGCAGCGCATCTGTTGGCGTGCGGTGCGGTAACCACCGTCCTTGTTCCATCTACTGCTGGATGAAGATCGATGCGGTGGCGACGTCTCTACCATGCGTGCGTTCTCTAATCCGCGTGCTGCTCCGTCTCTCAGCGTAATCGCCATCGCCGTGCACAGACCCAGTGGGCTTACTGACATGGGAAGGTAGCAGCGTTGCAGACGGCCGCGGAAGCGGCGCCATCTGAAAGCGCCGCGCGATGTGGTGACCGTTTGTTCAATGACCGGTCAGCGGTGTAGTGTAGTACGGTATTGCGTAGTATAGCAGTGTGCAGTGTGGGGAGCATGGTAGTTGCGTAGGCCACCGCGGGAGCCACTGGCATACACAGACGAACCGCGATTTAACCAACTATTAAAACACGGACCACAAAAAAAAACACATTTAAAAATAAACATATACCACACACACACACTATTGAAACGGAAGCATTTAAAGTTATTTTCACTTCAAATCTTAACATTCAAGGGTAGACAGAGTTCTGTGGTTAGTTTGTGGTCCTTCCCCAGCACCTCCGATTAGCACGTTGGCTACGTACCGTGCGAAGAAAGTTCAACACACAAAGACAAACATCCCCCGTATAGCCTTAACAGACTGTTGGGGCAAGTGCTGTTAGCGAGCAGCTACCGACGAAGGCCGGCACTGTGGCACACGAGGGGGTGGGTGGCCAGCACCACACCCACCCGCCATTGTCTCCCACGTGGCGATGTTTACACGCCACACCAGGTACTCATTTGAGAAAGCCCAGTCGACCTAGGGGAGGCCCAGGGCCGGTTCAGATAATCGTCACTGGCGTCGATGGCCGCGAGCGAGAATCGAACTCCGTTAGCCGGGTTCGTAGGGCTCAACGCCACACCACCGCTCCCCACTACACACACACACGACATACAAGAAGTGGCGCAGTGCTTAGCCACACACGCCGTGTGTGTGTGTGTGTGCGCGCCTCACCACTGGCTGAATAGGCCAGTGCCAGAAGGCTGGCTGTAGCGTTGGCTTGGGTCCCCGTGTACATGTACCACAGCAGTCGGCTGTCCCTGGGATGAAGTGGAAACAGCAGCCCTGCGTCCGTGCCAGTGTACGATTTCCTCTCCCGAGGGCCTGACACACGCACACACACACACACACACGGGTTGCACGTACAAACATTATTCCGCACGCGCACACGGAAAATCTTACATCCCGATTAGCAGGTACACAAAAATGGGACCTTTTTTTTGCCAGTATCAAAGTATGAAAAAAATATTCACAGGTTTTTACCCTTTGCTGGCAATAAAATAGGAGAGGTGTTAAGATATCCCAATACCAAATAGATACCTTTTGCAAATAATCAAGTTGATGCATTAAATAACACACAATCTCCGACCCCCAGCAACAGGTTTGCAGATTTGCCAAGCATTTCTGAGGTCCTGGGGAAGGGAAAATCCCTCAGCCAGGAAAACATCGTGGCACAAAGTGGGGATGAACCTGCTGAGGCTGCGGTGCCTCAAATATTGGAAGAAGTCACCCCCTGTGAGTGGCTGGCTGAGGTGCCATCTGTTGAGGAAGTACTGAAGGCGATCCAGAGTCTGAGACCAGGAAAGGCACTGGGCAGAGATGATCTCTCAAACGAAATGCTGAGGGAGGGTGGTGTTTGTGCACAGACTGCCCTATATGACATAACAACAGTCTGGACCACTGGACGGGTTCTGCAGGATTGGAAGGATACCCTGGTGGTCCCCCTCTTTAAGATGGGGGACCACACAGACTAACAAGGACAGGGGCATCTCACTCCTCAGTGTGCCGGGAAAGAATCCTTGCCAAGACAATCAACATCGCCTTGCCAGGCATGCTGAGGAGAGGCTTGCGGAGCCCCAACGTGGTTTCAGGAACGGGCGATCCTGCACAGATGCCATATTTTACGTCCGTCTGCTACAGTAGAGGTGAAGGGAATTCCAACAAGACCTACATCTCTAATTCATTGACCTGGTCAAGGACAATGATACCATCAGTAGGCCTGGACTCCGAGTTGTTTTTGTACTTTTGGAGTCCCCGACTCTCTGCTCAAGATCATTAAGGACCTTCATGATGGTGAGTGGGCCTGGATAAAACTACGTGGCCGGGAATCTGAGCCATTCCCTGTTCACTTTGGTGTGCGACAGGGATGTCCTCTGGCTCCCACATTATATAACATCTATTTCGACCACGTAGTTCGTGAAGCCTTCGATGGCTGTACCGAAATTTCCATCTGGTACAGATACAATGGGAGGCTGATCGATGCCCGGGTGCGGTCAAGGGATGGCACCCTATTGGTCAACCATGTTATGTATGCCGATAATCTGGTAATTGCTGCTCACTCAGAGGAGTTGGAGGGAGGCACTGCTGCTGAACCTGGAGCTTGTCACTAAGAGATGGGGCCTTACCATCAGCCCCACCAAAACTTATGACCTGCCTGGGAATTTTGTACCATCGGACACTCCAACCCCACAACTTCCAATTGGTGATGGGGCAGTTGTGGAGAGAGTGGAAAGATTCCCTATACCTGGGCAGTATGCTCATGACCTGCTCCAGTTTGACAGCACAGGTCTCAGTCCAAATAAGTCGAGCAGCATGATCATTTAAATCAGTTGCATAATGCTGTGTGGAAGCTACCTGGTCTGTCGCTCCGCACTAAGCATTAGGTTTTCCTTGGCCACGGTCATTCCCTCCCTTCTCTACGCTTGTAAAACGTGCCCCCCCCCCCTAATTGTACATCTTCGCCGGTTAGAAACATTTAGGCTGGGCTGCCTACGATCCATCCTGGGTTTAACCCGGCTGGATTGTGAGGAGCTCACAAATCCTTGAAAGATCTGGACATCGGTGAGCTCCTCCGGCAGGCAAGGCTGCGTTGGCTGGGTCATGTAGCCCGCATGCCCAGCCACCGCATGCCGAAACAGCTTTTGTTCGTATTCTTGGGTCTTTCGGTAAAGTCACGTAGATAGGTTCAAAGAAAATCACAAACTACGACGTTTCGATCGCAACACAAGCGTTTGTCATCGGGAAGAAAAAAAAGAGGCTCTAGTTTTGTTATTTTTTGTTATTTTCTTTGAACCCATCTACGTGACTTTATCAAAAGACCCAAGAATATGAATTCCTGCAGTCACGAAAGCTTTAAGTCAAGATTTAGCTTTTGTTCAGCCGGATAAAGGGGGCTATCCGGCCTAGAGAAGAGATGGAATGATGGTGGTACAAGAGGATGTGGAGCTGAGTGGACTTGGCGATGACTGGTATCAGCGGTGTCAATCGGCCTCTGTGGAGGAGGAGGCTCGTGAAGGATGCTACTGGGCAGTTGGAGGCAGTCACCCTCCAACAACAACGGAAGGCGGAGGAGCGACGCTCACAACAACGAGCGGAGCCCCGCGTGGCTAAAGCACAGCAGGTTGGCACAGTAGGGGGCACAGGTGGTGCATCGGCCAGTCATCTCAGTCAGTCGACCCGTGGCACCTGGGTCTGCCCCGTGACCTCCTGCCGGCAGGCATTCGATACTTCGTGGCCTCAACGTGCACATAGCCTGGCACAAGTGCCGCATCAGTGTGGGGAGCGGTAGTGTAGCGTTTAGCACGTGGTTCTTCTAATCTGGCGACCCGAGGTTCGGTTCCGGCTTTCGCGGCCAACACCGGTGACGATTACCTTAACCGGACCTGGGCCTCCCCTAGGTCGACTCGGCCTCAAACGAGTACCTTAATACGGTGTGCGTGTAAAATCAATCAGCCACTGGGGAGACAAAAGTGGGCGGGCGTGGTGCTGGCCCACCCACCCCCTCGCGTGCCGTTCCGGCCTTCACTGGGTATTGCTACTCACTAAAAGCACTTGCCCCAAAAGTCTGTTACAGGCTACACGGGAGGGGTATCCGAGTCGTTTTGTGGGTGGGGCAAAGTGTGGGTGTGCTCCCACAGCTTCCAGGACGCGGGTTTCCGGTTGTGGAAGAGCAGAGGCTCCTCCTTAGCGGAGGCCGGTTTTTTTCGTGTCGTTTACAGAATGCGAGCCCCCCCCCCCCCCCCCCCCCCCCCCCCCGATAACCACAGCCCGTGTCACGCGGCTTGCGCGCAAACTGAGAAGCCGAGCCAGCCGTATGTAGGGGTAGGACGGTGGGGGATCACAGGGAAGGAAAACCTGGGGTAGGTGGGGCGAGGGGGGTGGGGGAAAGGGGATAAAGAATAACTATTAAACTCCAGGGTCACGCACCTCTCAGAATTTTTTTTTTAAACCCGCAAAACCACAAAATCAGAACGCCCACAAACCCAAAGTCGGCGGTTTTCGTTTACGCCCCCCGGGCCGTTCCGTTTACCCTGGAGAAGGCGACGGTAACGGCGCCGTCGCCCCGCTCGTGTGCCTGGAAGGTGACGAAGCTCGCCGAGTTGGGCAGCGCCTCCACAGACAGCACCAGCGTCTCGTTGGTGGAGAGTCGCTCCACGCGGTTCACTCCCAGACGCAGCTCCATCCTCACGTCTGGGGACAACGCCATTTAAAAAACAACAACAACAAAAACTACAACCGATTTTTTTTGGTTCACTCCGGGAACCACGGCACGTACAAATGGTCATGCAACTGACACCATGCATCACGTAGTAAACCCATAGACCCATATAGATGCATAGAAATCCATAGCGATGCATGGCAACCCACAGAAATGCATTAGAGACAGCCACGCTGGTGCGATTGTGGCCATGCAATCCGCACTACGGACCATGTTATAAACCTATAAGGGAGACGCAGAGATACAGCGGAACTCGTAGATACATAGAGATGCATTAAAAGACACGCCACAGCACTAGCATGGTGGCCATGCAACCCAATCATGGCACCATATCGTAAACCCAGAGACTCATAGCAATACGTAGACCCACAGATGCATGAAAACAAGCCACAGCAGTGCGAGTGGCCATGCAACTCAAATTATGGACCATGCAGCAAACCCATAGGAGGCACATAGTGATACATCAGGACTCACAGATACAGAGATACAGAGACCCACAACGATGCATTAGACAGAGACCACACTAGTGCGATTGTGGACATGCAACCCACACTATGAACAACATGGTTAACACCACTGCAGTAGTCTGCACTCCTTCAATGTAGGTGGAGGAACAACGAACCGACAAACTCTCTCTCGCTTTCTAGGCCACGACACAAGACCCAACCCAAAAAACCCGGGACAGTCATCTCTGCTTGACGTTCTGTTGACCAATGCCCCTCACAATTTCCCACTTACTGGTGTTCTGGGTAATAACCTTAGTGATCACTCCTTCATATTGGGGGTGAGATCGTCAGCCAGACCCAAAGCACTTCCCAGGATCGGTTGTTCAGCACTCCATGAGACACTTCGACATACATGGATTTACGAATGCTGTGCTTCACTCCAATAGACAAGGTCTGCCATACCCCCAACCTGACTACGGCTTGGGACACCTTTTTGACAAATTCTTAACAAACATGTTCCGTTGGTTAGATTTAAAATTCAAGGCAAACGGCCACCATGGTTTGATCCTTTGATTACCAAGCTCATGAAAACGAGGAACAAGGCTTGGGCATGTGCTCAGAAAAGTAATTTGGTCAATGACTGGCTAGAGTACAGGATTCTGAGGATTGGATGCGTCAAGAAAAATACGGTATGCAAATTTTTTTTATTTACTTTTCCTACACTCTCCTGGAATCACGTGGTAACGCCAGGATATTCTGGAAAACGGTAAAATGTATTAAAAAAAAGCACCCAACACAGATAATCTTCCAGTTGCACTTAACCTAAATAGGGACTATTTTTCAGAGCCTCAAAAAAATAGTTGACAATTTGAACCTTAATTTTTCTGAAGCTGGTGACCTTTCTGATAATAATATATTGGGAGTAAACCCTGCTAATGCAATTTCTGACATCCCTGTACAAACATTAAACGAATTTAGTTTCCAGCCTATCCACGAAAATAATGTTCTGAAACATTAGTCCTACCTCAAAGGGTCCTACTCTTCTGGAGCAGATAGTATTCCTATCTTTGATCCGCTAACTGTTGGTCACCTAATATACAAACCTATAGCCCATATTTTCAACCTGTCCATCAATGAAGCATCGGTACCTCTAGAATGGAAACATTCCTATGTTTGTCCACTTCATTAAAGGGAGCCCTAAAAATGATCCAAATAACTACCGACCATCTCAATTTTGTCCCCGTTTATTAAACTTATTGAAAAATTATTAAACTACCAAATTAGCAGTTTCCCGTCTGACAATAACCTCTTACATCAAAACCAATCTGGGTTCCGAAAAAAATACAGCACCACATCTGCTGCACTTGACTCTCTAAATCACATTTACAGTCGCATGGATAATAAGCAGTACTGCACCAGTCTTTTTCTGGACTTGTCAAAAGCCTTTGATACAGTCGACCAAAACATCCTGCTTTGTAAGCCAAGTTGCCTCCGTTTCTCCAAACACGCAGTTGAATGGTTAAAAATGTACCTCTTCACGCACCAAAACTGTATTCATAGATGGTTGGAGGTCAATATAAGAAAATAGGGGTTCCACAGGGTTCCATCCTTGGCCACCTCTTGCTCTCTGTTCATGTCAATGACTTGGGCACTGACCTGGATAATTCCAGGGTAAATCTGTTTGCAGATGACACAATACTGATTACTGCTGGCCACTCTCTGGATGACGTGATTACTAAGTGTCAGTGCGATTTCAACAAAGTACAACATCAGCTCGTGGCTCTTAAAACTAGTCCCGAATGCCTCCAAATCCAAGGTGGCATGCTTCTCACCAGGACTAAAGCAGGAAATGTTTTCTCCAATTACATCCTCAAATAATTATCTAAGAGAGCAAGTCAAGATCTATAAGTATCTTGGGGTCATCTTTGATTCAAAACTAAATTTTCAAGATCACATTGATTCTATTAGTAAAAAGACAAAATAAAAAATTGGTTTCCTGTATCGACACAAGCATCGCTTCCCCACAATGTTCCGTTTTGAATTGATAAAAGCTACCATACTTCCTGTACTTGATTACTGTGACATCTATATGTAAAAAGGGAAATTTGTGAATGTGTGCCGTTCCAAATGTTTAGCATACTTCCCAACATGTAACAAACTTGAAATTTGGCATGTGGGTAGCTTCCAGACTGTACACAATGCAAAACGTATAAAAATAGACTTCTGTCTTTTGGGGGGGGGGGGGAGCAATAATAGATGTATTTTTCACGGCAAGCGAGCGGTGACGTCACATCTGTGATGTCACCCGCATGCGGCAGCGTCACGCAGTGTGCCTGCTGACGTCACGCATCCCCCGTCCCCACCCTCTGCGTAGGCCGTGTATTAATCCAAGACAAGAATCCAAGTCTGGGGCGAGTCCGGGTACTAAAGCTCGTTGTATATAAATCAGCCCCCAGTACTGTACTGAAGAAGCCTGACCCAATTTATCATTCGGCTTTAAGATTTGCATTGAACTGCCCAAAAAGGACCGATCACTGCGCTCTACACATTGGGTCAACCCTTACCACCTCTTAATGATCGACGGCTTGTGCATCAGATCTTATTTATTCACGATGAATTCACAAAAAAAATCAGCAGACTACCTGCTGGATCTCCTCCTCACTGTTGTGTCGAAGAACAAATGTAACCCAAAGGTCCTCGCTCATTTACCAGCTTCACATTCCTTATTGCCGTACAAATACTGGCGGAAGGGTCTGGAATGCTATCGCCGATAAACGGAAACTTGGATCGCTACCTACGAATATCTGCACTCAAAACTGCTCGAAAAGCTGTGCACCCGCAGCTGCGACTGCTATTGCCGAGTGGCCCGTAAAGTATGATTTTTAAGTTTTTAATCATCGTGTGCTGATCTAAAAAGATGCATTGATATAGTACGATACTACTACTGCTATTTGTGCTGTTATGGAGTAACTCATGCTAGTGGCTATGGCTACAAAGTGGGGTTTTTTGGTACATGTTATGTATATCGTTTATTGTTACATTTTAAAATCACAGTTCCTATGGTTAAACCATGTTTGTTTGTTGAAGTACTGAGTTAGCCTGATAACTTTAATCTAAATTATCTTTTGGAATTTTTTTACTTAAATCCCATTGGGATTTTTGCACACAGCATTGTTAGACGGTGGTTTTTTTTCTGGAAGATTTTGCTGGTTTTTCCCGGATGTTTCTGTTGTGCGTCATCATTTTAAGATCTTGTGTGTTCATGCGTCTGTTTGTTGCGATTGCACCCGAATCAAGAGCCACATGGCTCACAGGGCTGTACCTAATAAATAAACTTGAAACTACAATTGTAAATGTTGTAGTGGGTTAACTCTCCAACACACAACCGGTTAGTGCTGAACGAGTACACTACACTATACACTACACTTGTAAATGTTGTAGTGGTTAGTGATGCACTAGTAAAGAATTGGCCACGTTTTGTTTACGTGACAAACCCCTTACTGATTGACTGTCGGGTGGTTGCGGGCTTAACGACACCACATTTATATTTTTGCGATTTAACCCAACAAAAAAAAACCTCTTACGTTCCTTTTGCTCTACACCAGGTGTTGGCGAGGTGCAGAATGTGCACATCAGGCAAACCAGTAGCACCCACCAATAAACAAATATGTTAACTCTTATCCGTAAGGTTTTTGGGGGGGGTTATATCGCGTAAATACGAGTGCCGTTAAACTATTTAATTCGTCGCGAAAACCTACCTGTGTTGAACAAATGTTAACTCGTCAGACAGTAGGTAGCAGCAGCTTCAGTTTAGAAACATGACACTGATATTATTTAAGATTATTTTGCTGCTATGCATTTCATATCCGTCGGCCCATACGGTTCACCCCATATTCTTGTACAGGGGAAACTGAATTTTCAGGTCCATACGGCGTACAGCCGTTTCAATACTGGAACATTTATTTAGATTATGTATTTGTGTTTGTCCTTTGTGACGGGACTTTGTAGGATGAACGTTGAGATTTATAAGGGCACGGGGTGACCAATAAGGTCTGAAATAAGGTAGGGCACTGATAAGGGGTTGACCCAAGGCCGTAATTAAAATAAATATTGGGGGGGGGGGGGGGGGGGGGTCACATCCCCCCCCCCAATATATTGCTATAAATAGATTTCTGTTAATATGATTGTGGTTATGGTTGTACTTTATTAAACCCCAATCTCTGCCATTACATACAATGAAACAAGAAAAAACAGAGCAATGTAAATACAATAACACTATTAGACATTATTGTAAAAAAAAAAAACGTCCATCCGAAGTTTTAGTGAATTTTTTATATTTTTTTTCGCAGGAAATTAGTTTTTAAATTTAGATTTTTTTCTGGGGGGGGGGGTGAGGGAGGGACCCCCCCAGACCCCCTGGAAGATTTGGTCCCTCTCAGTGTTGACTCCACAGCCTTGGGTTGGCCAGGTATAACATGTCCACACCACGATGATGATAATAAGCCATACTTTGTCGAGGTGACCATTTGTCATGTTCAGGTGGCTTCTGAAAAAAAATCAGTTGAATGCTTCAGTGGGCTTTGCCTGCTAAAATACACAAAAAGAGTTTCCTTTTGTGCATTTTTTAAAGCGACTTGTTCGCCTTCATTTTAGCAAATCTGCGCACTGTGTATTGTTGTCGTAACGTTCTTACTCCGTGCCCCCACCCCTTACTGAACAGTGAATGAAGAGCTTTATAGCTCATCGGATTCCTCATGCAGTATTAAAAATTCTGATGACGATTGAGATAACACCACAACCGTCACCATCACTACAACCACAACTCCAACCACCACTTTAACCGCTATTCAGTGGAGTAAAATAAAATAAATCGCTCCAGATGACTGCTGCAAAGTATGATCTGTATTTTGATTTAGTGTGCTGATCTTAAAAGGTGCATTGAAAAAATTGATACTCCGACTGATGCTCCTGTTGTTGTGAAGTGACTCATGCAGCCAGCTATGGCTCTAGGGTTTGGTGTTACATGTTGTTTGTCGTTTATTGTGAAAATTCGGTCACGGTTCCTAAGATCACTGTTACATTGCTTGTATGGCTTTATTTTGGTGATGTCTAAAACGTTTGTTGGTTTGGCCATATTTGTTGTAATACGGAGTTAGACTGATGGCCTTAATCTGAGTTGTCTTGTGGTTGTTGTTTGGCTTGCATCCCACTGGGATTTTTGCACACAGCGTTGGTGTACGGTGCTTTTTCTGGAATATTTAGCTGTTTTTTCCTGGATTTTCTGTTTGCACAGTCACATAGTCACTTTAAGATGTTTTCTTGTTCATGTTTTTTGTTTGTTGTGGTTGCACCCGATTCAAGAGCCGAATGGCTCACGGGGCTATACCAAATAAATGAAAACTGAAAAACTGAAAATTCAAAAAAAACCACGACCCCCGTGCCAGGCTAGGTGCACGTCGAGGCCACGCGAGGTGTCGAACGCACGCCGGCAGGAGGTCATGGGGCAGACCCAGCAGGTGCCACGGGTCGACCGACCGATGCACCCACTGTGCCCACCCCTCCCCTACTGTGCCAACTCGCTGCGCTTTATCCACCCGGCGCTCCGCTCGTTGTTGTGAGCAGCGTGGCTCCTCCCCGCCCTCCGTTGTCGCTGGAGCTGGCGACTGCCTCACAACTGCAGCAGCAGCAGCGGCGTCCTTCACGAGCCTCCACCACCGTCAACCACAACCACCACCGTCAACCACAACCACCACCGTCAACCACAACCACCACCGTCAACCACAACCACCACCGTCAACCACAACCACCACCGTCGACCACAACCACCGCCGTCAACCACAACCACCACCGTCAACCACAACCACCACCGTCGACCACAACCACCGCCGTCAACCACAACCACCACCGTCGACCACAACCACCACCGTCAACCACAACCACCACCGTCAACCACAACCACCACCGTCAACTACAACCACCACCGTCAACCACAACCACCACCGTCAACCACAACCACCACAACCACACCACCGTCAACTACAACCACCACCGTCAACCACGCGCGCAGCAATCCACAACAAACCTGAGCGGACATCGTCGTCAGCCGTGTGAGGCGGCCTCCTCTGTGACCCCGAGGCCAAATGAAGGATGGCCGAGAGGCTCAGCAGCAGCTGCGGCGGCGGCAGCAGCAGCGGCGAGCCCCACATGGTAGCCGGCAGGCGACCCGGCAGCGGGGACAAAGCAGCAGCCGCAGCAGCCGCAGCAGCAGCAGGCGGCGGCGGAGGAGGCAAGCGACGGCGACAGCGCGTGACGGACGCCAAATGTGGCAATGCGCGCAGGCGGTGTTTATATTGCGGAACTCCTGATGCGAGATAAGGACCCCCCCTACACCCACCACGCGCCGCCCCTCTCCAGCGCTTCCGGCCCCCACCCCCCCATAGCCATCGGCTCCCCTGCACCTCTTCCGCCCCCACCCCCAGTCCATCGGTTTCCCCCCCCGCACCCCCTTCCGGCCCCCCCTTCCGCCCCCCCTTCCGCCCCCCCCCAGGCTCTCCTCACTCGCCATTGCCAATTCCGCCCCCCCGACGCCGCCACCACTTATTATAATAGTTTGCTGAATTTTATTTGTAGGCCGATGGCCAATTTACACCGCGGCCTCAATAAGGGAAAATATAATAATAATAGAGAGTAACAAAACAATATAACTATATATAATACAATTATATAATACAATTATATAATCATAATTATATAATCATAATTATATAACACAAACGAAATAATCTTCCCCCCTCGACCGTTTCCGGCCCCTCCCTCACGCCCCCACACCCGCCTTTCCCCCTCGACTTTTTCCGGCCCCCTCCCTCACATCTCTCGCCAACCCCTACCTCTAAACCCCCCCCCCCTCTTCCACCCCCTTCCTCCCACTGTCGCGGCTATGCCCTTATATGGCAACTCAACCAACGACTCCGGATATGACGTACATCCGCCCTCCGCTCGAGCGCACGTGCAGCTCTGCGTCACGTGACAACAACAATAACACTCGGAGGGGCCACGTGGTTAATTAGCCACGTGGTTAATTCGCCACGTGCGCTCCAATCAATCACAATGACTTCATCATCGGCCGTGATTAATCGGCTTACTTTTTATAACGCGGAGCAACAATTTTGCCAAGTTAAATGCAGAACGAATTTTTATTCAATGGGTTTTTTTTGTATTATTTGTTCAAGGCTTAGAAGGCAGTTTAATCACAAATCAGTGTTTGGGTCTCTGTGTGAGTCGGTCTGTCTCTATGTGGGTCTGTAGGTCTTTGTGTGAGTCCACGGGGTCTCTGTGTGAATCTATGGGTCTCTGTGTGGGTCTATGGGTCATCTGTGTGAGTCTATGGGTCCCTGTGTGGGTCTATGGGTCTTTGTGTGGGTCTATAGGTCCTCTGCGTGAGTCTATGGGGTATCTGTGAGTCTATGGGTCTCTGTGTAAGTCTATTGGACCCTGTGTGGGTCTATGGGTCATTTGTCTGAACCCATTGGTGTCTGTGTGAGTCAATGGGGTCTCTATGTAAATCTATCAATCTCTGTGTGGGTCTATGGATCCTCTGTGTGAGTCTATGGCTGTGTGAGTCTATGGGTCTCTGTGTGAGTCCGTGGGTCTCTGCGTGAGTCTGTGGGTCACTGTGTGAGACTACAGGTCTCTGTGTGAGTGTATGGGTCTCTGTGTGGGTCTGTGGGTCTCTGTGTGAGTCTACGCGTCTCTGTAGATCTCTGTGTGAGTCTATGGATCTTTATATGAGTCATTGGTGACCGGGTTTAGACCATCAACTGGCTACACTTGACCGAGTTTCATCACAACTCGTTTACTCACTGGTTTTTTCGGTAAAGTCACGTATGTAGACGTGACTTTTTTACCGAAAAAAACAATGAGTAATTTTATGCAGTCACGAAAGCTTTAATTCTTTATCACAACTCATTTCTTTAGAACTTCTTCTTGTGTTTAGTTTCTTCTCCCCCTCTCCCCTCCCGCCACTAACCTCCTATTGACGCGGTTTGCTACGCGATGAGGAATTGGGGGATGTTGACGTTGATGGTGGTGGTGATGGTGGTGATGTTGATGATGCGTCCGTCTGGAACGCTCTCCCGATATTAGAAAGCCACTGGGAGCTATGTACTTTCAAATCGCCATGTAGATTGACAAACTAATTTATTTAGAACTGCTTGTTGTTGTGTTTATTTTGTTGTCTTTGGCTATCACCAAAACTAGCCTCAGCGAAGTGGCTTATCATAATGTGGAAAGTTATCACAGCCAAATACACTAAGCGCCCTTGGGGAGAGTAAGAGAGACGTAAACTCCAAATGTACAGTAGGCATCGACAGGGTCGAGATCGAACCCACGACCTCCTGTATACCAGGCGAGGTAGTAAACATATCCTATCCACGGTGATGGTGAGAGAGAGACACTCAAAACTCCAAATATACAGCAGGCGTTTGGGTCGGAATCGAACCCACGACCTCCTGTATACCTGGCGAGGTCTTAACATCTCATAGCCACCGTGATGGTGAGAGAGAGACACGCAGACTCCAAATATACAGCAGGCGTTTGGGTCGGAATCGAACCCACGACCTCCTGTATACCATGTGAGGTTGTTAACATCTCCTAGCCACAGTGATGGTGAGAGAGAGATACTCAAAACTCCAAATATACAGCAGGCGTTTGAGTCGGAATTCAACCCACGACCCTATGATACCAGGCGAGGTCGTTAACATCTTCTAGCCACTGTAATGGTGAGAGAGAGACACTCAAAACTCCAAATATACAGCAGCAGGCGTTTGGGTCAGAATCGAACCCACTACCTCCTGTATACCAGGCGAGGTAGTTAACATCTCATAACCACCGTGGTGATGATGAAATAGAGAGACACGCAAACTCCAAATGTACAGCAGGCGTCAGGGTCTGGATCGAACCCACAACATCCTCCATACCAGGCGAGGTAGTTAACATCTCCTAGCCACTGTGGCGACATATTGGGGTTTTATTCGTGTGTGTGTGTGTGCGGTCATTCAGGTTGGATGAGGTTAATGGCACTGGGATACCCGAACCGATCTTAGGTCGACTCACCCACTCACCCATAAAATCTTAGCTCGACTCAACCATAAAATCTTAACTCGACTCAACCATAAAATTTGAGCTCGACTCAACCATAAAATCTTGGCTCGACTCAACCATAAAATCTTAGCTCGACTCAACCATAAAATCTTAGCTTGACTCAACCATAAAATCTTAGCTCGACTCAACCATAAAATCTTAGCTCGACTCAACCATAAAATCTTAGCTCTACTCAGCCATAAAATCTTAGCCCGACTCAACCATAAAATCTTTGCTCGACTTAACCATAAAATCTTAGCTTGACTCAGCCATAAAATCTTAGCCCGACTCAACCATAAAATATTAGCTCGACTCAACCATAAAATCTTAGCTTGACTCAGCCATAAAATCTTAGCTCAACTCAACCATAAAATTTTGGCTCGACTCAACCATAAAATCTTAGCTCGACTCAGCCATAAAATCTTAGCTTGACTCAACCATAAAATCTTAGCTCGACTCAACCATTAAATCTTAGCTCGACTCAGCCATAAAATCTTAGCTCGACTCAACCATAAAATCTTAGCTCGACTCAACCATAAAATCTTAGCTCGACTCAGCCATAAAATCTTAGCTTGACTCAACCATAAAATCTTAGCTCGACTCAGCCATAAAACCATAAAATCTTAGTTCGACTCAGCCATAAAATCTTAGCTCGACTCAACCATCAAATCTTAGCTCTACTCAACCATAAAATCTTAGCTCGACTCAGCCATAAAATATTAGCTCGGCTCAACCATAAAATCTTAGCTCGACCCAACCATAAAATCTTAGCTCGACTCAGCCATAAAATCTTAGCTCAACTCAACCATAAAATCTTAGCTCGCCTCAATTATAAAATCTTAGCTCGACTCAACCATAAAATCTTAGCTCGACTCAGCCATAAAATATTAGCTCGACTCAACCATAAAATCTTAGCTCGCCTCAACCATAAAATCTTAGCTCGACTCAGCCATAAAATCTTAGCTCGACTCAGCCATAAAATCTTAGCTCGGCTCAGTCATAAAATCTTAGCTCGACTCAGCCATAAAATCTTAGCTCGACTCAGCCATAAAATCTTAGCTCGACTCAGCCATAAAATCTTAGCTCGACTCAGCCATAAAATCTTAGCTCGGCTCAGTCATAAAATCCTAGGTAGACTCAGCCATGAAATGAGGTGCGATGCGTACATTACCATCACGTGGCCAATATTATTGGCGACTTCGTGAAATGTGGACGGGCATCCCCCTAAGGTCACCTCGGCCGAAAAGTGAGAATTTGCTCACAGAGTTTCAAAATATCAGCGCTTGCAGTGCTGACCAACCTACCCGCCCACCCACTTGCGTGCACTGCGTTGGCTTTAATAGGTGCTCACTAACAGCAGCATCCACCCCTCAACGTTCTGTCTGTCTACGGAAGGGGCCATCCATAAATTACGTCACGCACCTGGGGGGGGGGGGTCAGACATTTGTGACGATGTGTGACGATGGGGGGGGGTTGAGAAATGTGACGTCACATCAAAATGCGCAACTTTAAATAAATATAGACAACACCTTCTAATTATATTATTGGTTCTTTTGGTAAAGTTACTTAGAAGGGAAACAATAAAACATGGTAGGACCAACACCTCGGCCGTGGCAGATCACTGTTATAATTCAGTAGGCTCACATGACATTGACTTCTCCAAGACAGAGGTTCTTTGCCAGCCATCTGGCTACCATGAGAGATTCGTTCATGAGGCTATCCACATATACAAACACAGAGACAATTTCAACCGAGAAGATGGATTCTGGCTTAGCAATCATTGGAAGGATTTGATAAACCATTTCGGGTTTTAATTGATTGATCACGCTTAAGGTAGCTTTCAGACCGCATCCATTATTTTCGTCTCCCCCCTCCTCTTTTCCGAACATAGATGGACTCGTCCATCTGAACAAACTGTCAAATCGCTCTCTGTGGTGCTAACGTTAAAAATAACCGCCACTTTTTTCAAATTTTTTTGCTGTGGTTTTCACACTTGATGATGATTACTTCTTGTGTTGCAGTCGAAACGTCGTGAGAACGTTATTGTTTTATATTTTTTATTATTTTATTGTTTCCCTTCTACGTGGTGATGACTTTACCGAAAGAACCAAGAATATGAATCCCTGCAGTCACGAAAGCTTTAAATCAAAACGTTCTACTTAATTAAATAAACTTTTTAATAAATGTTTTCTCCTACGACATCAGAGTGC